AAACGTTCTTATCTTTGATTTTTTTTCAACATTTTCACATTTCATTACCAAAAACATGCTTCTTTTAACTTACTGTCAGTTGCTCCATTAATACAATACAAGGGCCAATTTTCTTTACAAACATCAAGGATAAAATAGTCTCAACCAATTTAACACCTCCAGAATATTTATTCCATAAGTAAAAATATTACATTGTATTTTATTTAAAGTAATGTTATTCATCCCCAATGAAATTACAAACACAATTTAGATGACTCTAAATGATAGGCTAAATGAAAGATGAAATTAACATATCATTTAATGTCACATTAACGACACATAAACTGTGTTTGTAATCTCAATGTGGATGAATAGCATTACTCTTTTATCTAACCAAATCACTCTTCTACAACCCCTAATGAAAACCATTCATCAATGATCCAAAGCAAATGTACAGTCCTCTGAGTTCTCCAGCATACCCCTCTAAATTTTACCAGTAATCTACCAACACAGTAGCCAATGTTGTAAAATACAATATTTTCATGTCATTTTTTCTTTATTTAATGTAATAATTTTATAAATTATTTTCATATTCACATTACTGTAACTTATGGAATAACTATTGTGAACGCGGGAAAGATATGTTAACTAAACTGAAACTATTTTACCCTTGATATTTGAGAAGAAAATTGGTTTTTTGTATTCAATTAACGAAGCATCTAACGGTAAGTGGATGGAATGACTTTTTGGCAATGAAAAGTGAAAATAGGGGTAAAAATATCAAAAAATGAATTATATAGACATTTTGCACAATAATATATAGCTTGTTTGGGAAGGATTAAAATCAGATTAAAATTGAAAATATAGTTATTGCAGTTGACTTTTATTAGACGAGTGGGATCCAATAACGGCTATATTTTCAATTTTAATTGGATTTTAATCCTTCCCAAACAAGCTAAGATAGAAACATTTTGTGCTAAGATAAAATTCATTTGCAACTGAAAATTCTCTTAATACTATGATTTCATACGTAAATTTTTTTAT